TTAACGCTCTAGTTTCGTCCCTGATTAAAAGTCTACATCGAAACCAGGCATTATAAATTTCACACATACATTTCTAAAACTTAAGACAAGACTATAGGGAATATTAAAGGGGAAATTACGAGCTTTTTACCGGCGAAACAAACAGCACTGAAATATAACTATAATTATATAGAGTAAACTTTTACCTCCGGGATAAAAATTGAATCATGCACGATAAGCTTCTTAGTTTAGGCTTTCCTTTAAAAATGTCATGGATTCCCTTTAGCAAATGCACTATCTTTTGGTCTAAAGAAAAATATAATAAAAATTGACAGTAGAATTAACACGTGTTAACGCTGTAAGGGTGGATTTCCACTTGCAGCGAAATATTTGCGTGTTTTCTTTTGAATTTTAACAGCATAAATCAATTAGTTCAACTTGACTGTTCTCAATTCAAAGCAAAATATTAAACTATTTCGCAAGCGAACTATTTCGCTACAAGTGGAAATCCACCCTTACTAACAACCTTATTTGGCAGTATTGCCTTCAGCATTTCACCGTGGCTAACGCACCAGACACTTTACCTTTCAATTGCTGACCTCCTGGCAAGGGATTAATAAGCAGCGTTTGTAGAGTTGGATAGAATTAACATACATAAATAGAGTACATGCACTAATACAACTCACCAACTGACTGGCTCATAGGTGGTTGTATAGCACTTTTTGAGATCCCGTAGTATATCATCTGATCGACTTTCTTCTCCAGAAGACTGACACGGCTAGTCATGTACGATTCAGGATTACCAGTCTCCTTCAATTTCAGACATCGTCTTACTTCTTCAACAACCTGCAAAGCAAAAACATGTACTGTATATTTCAAAACAGGCAATATTTTTTTTATATTATCTTTTAGACGAAACATTAATGGATGCAAAACATTTAATACGGATTTGCACAATTAATTAAATGGTTAACAAATATTTTCAGCAACACAAATGTCATGTGTATTCAAACCTGGACAACAGGCTAAGATACATTTCTGCAACTACATTTACCTCATTAGGATCTTTAAAACATGGGTAGAGCTCCAGTATTTTGCTTGGCCTCTCATCTTTCTTCGTCTCTTGAATCAATTGCCTTCTAGACGAGAACTCTAGATTCAAATATTTGTTAATCACCTTTGGGTTAGGTTTACACTTCCTTTGTTCTCTCTCTAATGCACTGTAATGCCTTGCGCAAAGACCGGTGTCTTCATTAGATCCGTCTGTTGTCTCAGTAGATGATGATTCACTCTCTGACCCTTTTTTCAAAGGATCACTCGAATCACCTAAATAATGAGTGTTATACTGAATTGAATAACTTGACTTTTCATGCTTTTATACTGTGGACAATAATCGGAAATTATATGCTTTGTGTTTTTTTTCATTTTTTTTAATTATCATAAGAAAGGAGTTTCACAGTGGTGGACTGACGCATATAGTGTAAACTTAAGGAAATCACAAAAATGTTGCATTAAATGCTTTTAAGCATTTAAAAATTTCAGGATATACTGTACATGCGGTAATGACTAGTGTAACAGGTTCTACTATGGGGTCCAATACATTAATTGCAAAGCATTCACCAGCCACAAGGGCAGTTAGGCAATTTAACCCATTAGATGCCAGTACAACACAGGGAAAGTCATAATAACATAGGGCAAATCATGGCACATCAATCCTCTTATATTATGCTGTGAGTGCAAAAGTAGAACCAGGATGGATCCAGAGCGATTTTGTAGGGGGGGGGGGGGTGTGCAGACAAGTGCTGGACATGGGTTGAGGTACAAGCACCAGTTGTCAGGGATATTAGGATATTAGAAATTTATATATAAATTGGAGGATAAGGTGCTACCAGATTGTCAGAGCCTGTGAAACTCTCAAATACACCAAAATACATCATTTAAGCTCTGATTTTCGTACATAATCCCCCAAAATTTGAATTTATACCCAAACCTGCACCCTTCCTGGTCTAGGCTAGGGGATCAATGCCCCCCTGGCAACCCATAGTTTGCAAATTCATCTTTTAGCAGAATACTGCTACTGTAATTTCAGGCCCCAAGAGCTGTTTCATTGCATGTACTAGTAAGTTTTCCAACTTTATCAAATGACGATGACATGCATATGGGTTACTCTGACAAACAAATAGGTTATATATTAACTTACCAAGTTCAGGCATGTCTAATTTAATACGTTTATTTGATCTCGCAGGCACTTTTCCTTGCCTTTTCTTAGCTGGGACAACATTTCCAAGACGTTTTTTAATTTTGGACAACACAAAAAGCTACAAAATTAAAAACAACATTTATCTCAGTATAATCGGCAAACTATATAGTAGCTAGGCAGGAGTCGCTCATAGTAATAGATAGGTTTAGGTGGGTAAACAACTCCTTCATGAATAACTTAATTATGTAAAATAAAAATAATTATCTAAAAATTGACAGAAAGTTTCTACCAGAAGCTAACTATATTACTATGAACCATTTGCTTGTGGCATGGAACTCCCCCCTCTTCCAATTTTATTTTGCACTTTTAAATTTTTAATCTGTCTAACTTACATGACCGCTTTCACTTCCTGTCAACTCTGAAGCTCTTTCTAAACAGGGATACTTTTGACATAGAACCTTGGCCATTTCTCCCATTTCCAGGGATGTTGGCTCCCTTGGTACAGGTAAACTATGACAGGCTGATCGCATATTTGACACAGTATTTCGTATCAATCTATTAAACAGATCTTGCGAAATATCACCAGTCTTGGCTGAACAGACAATTTCGTTATCTGTATATACAACAAAGGCCGGAGAAGGTGCTGGGGTAATCACCTGACTTGAAGTTAGGTCAACACTTGCAGGGCTAGGGGGACTCTCCAACCAGGAAGAAGGTGAACGCAATAGTTGTGACTGCGAAATTCCCAAATGTTTTTGTACAGGAGGAGTTTGAGGATTTACCACTGGGGTTTGATTAATCTTTACTTTTGCAGAGTTAGGAGACTCTAACATTTTTTCTTTACATCCTCTCTAAAAATTATATTCAGATAGCAATTTTTGTACGTTAGACAGCTATTCTATGAATAACTTCAAGCGGTTAATTTGCAAGCTGATAACAAGAATTACATTGAAAAACTGATAATTTTTCTTCGAGGAACAAAAATAGATTAATTAACTTTACTTTGATGCAGTGCATGCTTATGAAACAAAAATATATAATTTTACTTTGAATGTAGCTTACAGCTTTCTCAATAATATTCCAAATCTTTTTTCTCAACAAAAATTTATCTGCACCGGCAAACAAGTCTTTTAGATCATCCCGACTGAAATCCATTAACATATCTTCATTAACACTGGCATCTAGCAAATTAATAAAAGTATGATTATGAATTTGATATGAGTGTGATTTCCACTCAAAAGACCCATTAACCCCCTAGAAATTAGCCTTAATTAATTCAATGAAGTGATAAAAATGGTAATTGATTTCCCAGTACATACTGCATGATAAGTATAACTAAATGCAAAATCACACCAAAAGTACAAGGATTTTATTGCATGAGTTGCAGCTGCTTGTATCACAGAAGTGAAACATACCTACAGTATGGTTTAATACTCCCATAATACTACAGAAATTTTCCCAAGTACGTCTAAACTATATAACATTTTCAAATTAATATGAGCTGGTGTAGAGTATTTTATTGATTTTTTCCCCGGATTAAATTACAACGGATTACTTGAAGATGTTTCTATTTTGTGCTGAGCCAATTTCTGCTGAGCTGGAATAGGATCCTAGCTCAAGAACAAAATATACTTTTTAACTCTCATGCAAATACTTTTTAAACTGAGCAGTCGATCCAGGATGGCAGCCACAGGTTTGGGGGTTATGAATGAGTGTCGGCCAGACAAGAGCAAAATAGGGAGTTATTAAATAGGGAGACAATTAACAACTTCTATTCTGCAGTACCTTGAAGTATATCATAAGCCTCGATGTCCAGTTTCCTTATGTCTTCCATTGACATGCTTGGCCCTGTACAAAAAAAGTTTAGAAAATCAGTATTTTTGCCATATTCCAGTATTTGAAAAGTAGTATCTGACGAACTCGAAACAAAAATTCCTAATAAAATTTTCTGCTCCAGGTAGTTTAAATTGGCTAAATAGGACTAGAAAATAATACGAAGTCGCTACCATTTTACCTGTAATCGATTCGCGCTATTCCTACGGGAGTTGTTTTTATCCCCAACCCTAAAAAAATACAAAAGCTAGAATAAAAGGATGCCAAATATCGCAGTTTTTGGAACTTCAAATGTACATTACTATCATTACATTCTGGAACAGTAAACTAACTGTGATATTGGAATTTGGCAGCTCATTTAAATGTTGAACACCGCAAAATACATGGAACATGAAAATATATAAGTACACGAACCACTGAGCATGTTTATAAAATTCAAAAGAGCAGTAACTCCGAAAATACATTTTGTAGCTTTAATGAATCCACGTTTCGACTGCACTTTAGTCGTCGTCAGTATTATACAAAATGCTTTTCGGAGTTACCGTTCTTTTGTTTTTTTGACAATACTTGAATGTTCCGATCCGGCTCCAGCGTGCGACTTTTATAGCGTTCATTCTCAAATCTCAATAAACATTCGTAATTCGGTGTTGAATACACTTGACTATAAAAGACTACTTTTAATATTAACAAAAGGTCAAATATTTACCTTCTTAAATTTCCTTTAAAGGGTCGGATTACAAAGGATTAAACGTTGAATAATGTATATTTTCCAGTGATATTCTCACACCAACCGCTCAGTTTAAAAAGGGGATGGCGACACTGTTAGTGGCGTGATTTTGTACACGTCACGAAGCGGGTCACGAACAGGGCGAACTGGTCACGAAGCATGTCCGACATTTCCCGAGTATTTTTGAGTGATGGCTGTTATAGCCACTGCTCGCGGCTTCGCGCCAAATACAAATCATGGCATTTCATTTCTTGCGTTGAACTGTGGCTGGAAAATTAACTAAATATGTCGAACGTGTGGTTATGTAGTATTTGTTTTGTTTTCTCAGCACTGACGCTGAAGGCCTTGTTAAGGCATATTACTTTGCAACATGCATCCCATCCAAATTTTAAGATTAAATGTGGAATCAATGGATGCCCAGAGCAGTATAATAAAATGAATTCTTTCCGAAGACACATTCATCGGAAACACGAGGAGGAAATGTCTGCTGCGGAGACATCCAATTTGCTGCCAAACGACAGTCAGGGAGACAACCATACACTTGAAATGAGTAGCAACAACTCTTCGGAAACGTCGACTGATACTGATAGCGAGGATGACAACCCAACTGTTGAGGTACAGTAAGTTCACAGGTGTTCATGCATTTTAATAGGGGTTTTCCATTTCATGAATGCAGGCTAATTTATAAACATATTTTACATATTTTGGCATGTTTTCAGAAGGGCACATTTTACCATTTTACCACATTTACTCATTTAGTCCTTTCCCCAATTCTTATCCCTGTGGTAATTGATGTCATTTTTGCATACTAAAATGAATTTGTTCGACTTTTTTTGAAACCTTGTTTTTAGCTCAGCAAATAGGGACCATATGTATAGGAAATTAAGCTGGATCCCCATTTCATTAATATGCCTGAGTATGAAAAACTGAATTAAGAGAGACCATGAATTATGGAGTTTGCAATTCTAAAATCTACAGGGTACTGTAGGATAAATTCTGCAGCATACATGTATGCTCTATTTCCTTACCTTAACTTTTTGTATATTCTTACTCAATAACTGCACATTTACTAGGTTGATGTCAATCAAACTGATAAAGCTGTAGACCTCAAGCAATGTTCTGCTCAGTTCTTGCTTAAACTTCAAGCACGGTCTAAGATACCAAAGGTATGAAAGGCTTCTTTTGAATCAAAACGTTAATTGTTGGTATAACACTGCAAGTCCATTTAATATCAATGTAATATTTCTGTTATATATTTATAGTTAAATAGTAATATATTTTTACCCCTTTTTACTTATATTTGCCAGCTTGAGTATGCCTTAAAAAAGATAGACACAGGAAGAAAGAAATAATATTGGAATAGGCAATACAGAAATACAGAAAAAAATAGGATAAACAATTGTTGCACCTTACAGTTTTACAGCAGCACTATAATTACAGCAAGCTACAGTGTAAGTTCAAACAGTACCTATAAATAATTCCCAATTTCCTCAAACTAATTACACCTAATTTAGCAATTCCTGCAATGTTGCCTTTTAATTTAAACGACATGATGGAGTTATACAGTATATGGCATAACTCAATTATGCTGTTATTATTGTTAACATACTAGTTTGTGGACAAGCTACAATACCCATGAGAAATGACAAACTTTTAGTAAAATTTAATAACCTGAACATGGACCTGAAAATAATATTTCATAATGTTACAAAAGAGAGTTACCAAATGTCAAAAGATTCATCATTACAGTTCGGGCTATCCTTGAAAATTTAGTTTAGTCGCTAAATTCAACGTACTTGAACATAACTCTCCAGGTTGACTAATTTGTATCTCAGCATTATTAAAAAGTCCTAAATATTTATCCCTTTTTGCACAAGTTGTCATATAAAATCATGTTCTACAGTGTTACATATAGTTATTTATTATCATATTTTCTCTTTAAAAATAGGTAATGTTGAATGGGATTGTGGAAAGTACTAGCAACTTAATTGAGCAAGTAAAAGAACACCTAAAACAAAAGGTATTGAATTGTGTAGAAAACGGTGCTGACAAATTGACTGAGGAATCCGTTGAAGAAATTTTCAATTCTTTCGAGGACCCATTTAGCAAACTTAAAACAACTTACTTGCAGTCTTCATTTTTGGAAAGCAGCGTCAACTTTATCAAACCAATCCAATATGTCCTGTCCACTAGAATCACATATAAAAACAAGGGCTCAAAGCGTCTTATTTGTGAACAAGATGACACAATGGTGTATATTCCCATTCTTGATAGTCTACAGCAACTCTTGTCAAATTCAAAGATAGCAGATGTTATAACCGCACCACGCCAAGTATGCAAAGAAGGTTTTTTATTTGACATTTGTGACGGTGAATGTATAAAGCACAATAGAATCTTCATAGAGCACCCAAATGGATTAATAATTATTCTTTACCATGATGAGATTGAAGTCTGCAATCCGTTGGGCACACATGTAGGCAAGCACAAAATCGATCTTTATTATTATACACTTGGAAACATTGGCCCCAAATATAGGTCAAAGCTTTGTGCCATTCGGCTACTGGCTATTGTGAAGGCTAAAGATGTTTCAATGTACGGTCAGAATAAGATTTTAACCCCAATAATTAATGACCTACATACACTGGCAAATGGCTATACATTTGTGGTAGGTGGAAATTTTATGGAGTTGTTTGGTGGCGTAGTCAGTTGCCTTGGTGACACCGAAGGGCAGCACCAGTGGGGAGGATTCAAAGTAAAGGTTGGTTTTTCTCACCAGAAATGTCGAAATTGTTTATGTACATTTCTAAGCATGCAAGAGAATTTCAGGGCTAGCTGTTTTACTGAAAGAAACTTAGTCCAGTATCGTCAACACTGCGAAGATATTGAAACAGCTCCAACAGAAGAAAGCAGGAAAAATCTGGTGACCACATATGGAATTAACGAAAGAAGTGTATTGAGCCGCTTACCTCAATTTGACATAACGAAACAGCTTCCCCAAGACATAATGCATGTCCTTTTGGAAGGGTCTGTTCAATACGAAGTCCGCTATGCATTGCAATATTTTATTGATAATGGATCTATAACATTGCAACAATTGAACAGTACGTTTTGCCAACTTAAGCTTGGGTACCAAGATGAAGCTAACCCGTCCTCCGCCTTTAAGAGAAACAGTGTTTAATGGCCAAGAGAAATATAAACTGAAACAAACGGCTGAACATGCTAGAATCTTCTTGAAGTATTTGCCCATTTGTTTGAAGAACTTCGTTGCTAATGACTGTCCGCAATACCAGCTTATATTGCAGATTTCATTGATTGTTCAGATCTGCTTTTCACCAGTCATCAGTGTTGAAACTATTAAAGAATTGGAAACTTTAATCGAAGCAAACCTCATCCTCTTTAAGGAAGTGTTCCCAGGTGTGAATATTACCCCCAAAATGCATTATATGCTCCACATACCGCAGCAAATTGTGTATCTTGGTCCACTTGTAAGGCACTGTTGTTTACGTTTTGAAGCCAGGCACCGTTATTTCAAAGACCTGGCTCCACTACAGAACTTCAAGAACATTTGCCTCTCTTTGGCAGAGCGATGCCAGGTTGATGAATGTGCAGACTTTGAAACCCAAACACCCTGCCAACACCCGTTATTTAAGTCCGAAAAGGTTATTGGTCCATCCAGTATGGTGACAGATATGTTGAAAGCCCACTTTTTTCAACGAATTACTGACTGCTTGCTTTACGCCAATCCTGAAAGTTTGACCAACGTTTTTACATGTAAGTGGATTCAATTGCACGGAACAAAATATGTTCCCAATAAGGGCTGTATCATTGCAGTTGATGCTACTTTTACAAGCATGTTGCCCGAATTTGGAAGAATTCAGAGAATTTGGCTTGCAGATGAAGATACTATATTTGAATACACACCTTTGAAAACAGTTGAATTTAACGATGGCCTTCTGTCTTATGAGGTTGAAGATCCTGGAGATGGTGTTCCAACAAAGTTCTGCTTATACGCAAGTATGTTGGATTTTAACGTATATTCTACACTGAAACAGTTTGATTCCACTTTCATTCCTACTAAGTATGACCTGAGGGATCTAATAAGACTTCATGTTGTTGTGGAGAACCCCCTGCATCGCTAAATGCAATTATATACTTTAACTTTGAACTGATACAGAAACTTATACTGTAGTTAAATCGTTTTATATACAGCTAGTATAGGTCGTATAAAATTGATCGTTCGATCACAAAGCGTAATCTAAGATTAGTTGGGTTTGTACAATAGAATTATAGTATCAGTTTCATTGGATTCTATACACTTCACCTTTAACTTTGATGCATTTGTTCTTGTCATACTATTTTTGTTTTACAGTACTGACATATTAAAATTATTATATTATTGCATAAATTAATGACCAATGCGAAATTGTTCCATATATAGTGGGGTTTGAGCAGTACTGCACCTTTGTCAGTGCCACACATCACGCATGGCTTGCAACCTTGCTCAATACGTGCATATGTTTGTATAAATGAATACAGTTTAGAGTTTTTATAACTTGAAGAAATTTAACACGCTGAGAAAGCCATGCAAATAATTATAACAGGCACAAAGTATTAATGGCAACGAGTTGAATTTTCATTGACCAAGAAACAGTGACTAGTTTTAAGAAATGCATACATGTCGACTCTCAGTTGTTAGACGAAGACGTATTTGCTGCGAAACAAGCTGAGATAGCTTTCTTGGCATAAGAGACATAGACTGACACTGTTTTCCTTCAGGAATCGACTATAATATTTTCTTAAGACAAGATAAATCATCTTTGACTAAAAAACAATAACTCATCCTAAAATAAATCGTTTGCAGCTCTGATGAACCAAGCTTTAACATCTTGATTCATCACGGGAGAGGCCATTTTTTAGATTTGTTATCAAACCGAGATGAATAATAATTATCTTTGTCTAAGAAACAGTTAGTCGTTAAGCTCCGATTGACCAAGATTTAATTTCTTAAACAAGACAAATTTCTTGGTTAAACTTTCTTAAAACAAATTTCTTAAAACAAGATAAATTTAACTCTGTTAAATAAGAATACATATCTTAAAACAAGATAGCTTTCTTTAAATATGGATTTATACCATGATTAATGTTCTTAAAAAGAGATATATTATCTCTTTAAAAGAAAATATGACTCGTTTTAAGAAATTGAATAATTTTGAGCTCGCTGTACCAAGATTTATTATCTTAAAACAAGATAGCTTTCTTGAAATAAGAAATAACACCTTACATAAAGACTAATGTTCTTGAAACAAGATAGCTTTCTGAAAATAAGAAATAAATTCTTGATTTAAGAATTGGATTCTTTCTTTCAAAAACTATAAATGCTTTTTTTTTCTTCAAGCGAGATTTATATTCTTAAAACAAGATTAAGTATCTTGAGTCAAGAATTTTTACCTTAATTTAAGAAAAATCGGTATTTTTACAGATCTCATCAAGATATACGATCTTATTACAAGATAATTTTCTTAAAATAAGGAGTGGAATCTTGATTTGAGAAATAAAATCTTAAAATCAGATAAATAATCTGGCCTAGACTTTCATTTTTTGCAGTGCATATGATGCAGTAAAATTTGCTCGTACGCGAAAATGATATTTATTAACAATATTTAAATGTGCATCGCAATCACCATGACCTTCGACATGTCCCCTTTCTCTAGCAACTCAAAGCATTTAGCATTTTATAAGTTGCATTAAATCTCCACGGGCTAAAATTCGTGAACACGGCATTCAAGTTTTAACAATGAGTGATTTCAATAGTTTTCGTTTTTTTTGAGACACCCTGTAGAGTAGCGCGCATAATAAATTAATAATTATATATTTTTTAAATGACTTAAATTTATGATCATTTGAAATTTCTTACCTTATTTACAATTTATGTGAAAACATTTTCTTTACTAATAGGGATGCAATGAAAGCTACAGATTCCCAAAAGGTTTGAAGCAACTGCAAAAATATTTCTACATTTTTAAAATAACCGAGAATATTAGTGTGCCCATGTACGGTATGTATGCATGCATGCAGGTGTGTCCATGTATTACTTGATCTGAAAAATTGATGCGAATAGTTGTCGCATGCACTTGTTCTTTTGAAGCGACGCAACATTGTTCACTCCTGTGTGTGTAATTGTCCTGTTTTGTAGTCTTGTTAACTGTTTTTAATATTTAAACATGCCCCTCATGGAAACCAGCCTAGAGTTGATGGGGCTAGCGTGTTTCTTGGTTTTAAATAAAGTTTTACCTACCTACCTACCTACCTACCTACCTACCTACCTACCTACCTACCTACCTACCTACCTACCTACCTACCTACCTACCTACCTACCTACTCCTGCCTTTATTAGGGAGTCACTGCTAGTGACTACGAGTACGAGTACGAGATTCGTCATTCTCGCTCGTTGTTTGATTACGCAATCAGCCAAAACTCGTAGTCGCCGAGCTTTTGAGTACGAGTTTTTTGATAAATTTCGTACTCAAAAGCTCGGCGACTACGAATTTTGGCCGATGGCGTAAGCAAACAACGCGCGAGAATGACGAATCTCGTAGTCGTTGTAGTCGTTCTCATAGTCACTGCTAAAGCTCCCTATTATTAACCCCGCGAACAGCTTGTTCATTTTTAACCGTGGAGTTCACAGCCTGCATGCGGGGCAAGCGCAAATTCTCCGACGATATGTATACAATACAAGTCAGACATCTATTCTATCGCCTCATACATAAACAACAACAGTGGCATTTACATTTTCCGCTCTTGCTCTTCTCTTGTCCTGGTTTGAACGTTTGGTATACATTGCAACTTCGAAGAACTTCGATTCATAAATAAACTTACAGCTAGAAAATAATCTATCCCAGACTCCGAGTTATTACAATTTTGTTATTACAATATTAACCGTTTATGGAATGGCTAATTGCGCTGGGACGTACTGAAAAGGGGCTGCAGTGTACAAAAAACATAGCTAACCTAGGCTGGCGGCCTTTCGCCATCATCGCCTTACCCGAATTTAGGGAACGCCTGCCATACAGGCTATGGAGTTTATAGCTATTCATTTAGAACTTGTGTTAGAAATGCTGACGGACTGTCCTATTGAAAGGAGTATGACAGAGGCGACACAAATTGCAATTGGCAAAAAATAGAAAGCTGCTCATATACAGCTACATCTTGCGAATAAGTTAAATCGAATTGCCTGCCGCGATACTTCGTTTTTAACAGGGGCTCGCCGTTTTGAAAGCGCACATGGTAAATGGGCGAAATTCAACATTCGTTATTGTGTACATGGGGATGACTTTATCTTTTAGATTTATTCCCAGAAGTGCTTATTTGCTTTTCAGAAACTGACTGTTCAGTAAAATTCGAGCGTGTTGGCTGCTATAAAGACAATCGCAAACGACCTTTGACTGATAACATTCTGACTGATCGAGATGATATGGATTGGGGACATTTTGATACGTATTTACCTGACTTCGCCTGCAGATGTGCAATGAAGACTGCGCAGAAGAATTGGGACACTTTTGGCATCCAGTTTTATGGTACACAAAGATTTCCTTGTTCCAAACTCCATCAGCCGCGTAGCCAGTCTGACAATTTAGTCCCGCTAAGCTAATACTTTGGTCTTCGTGACTGTGAAAACAATGAATTTCTAAAGAAATGAAGAAATAGACGAATTTCAATAGCTGGAAATTCGCATAGCTGAGTAAATCTCAGGCTAGCTCAGTATTCCACTCCAATGCCCAATCTTGAACCTATAATCAGAAATGTATTCATATGCCTCTAGCCTCAATTATAGAGAGAGACGAGGGATGTTTCTGAACGGCTTTCTTTTAGTGTTTCACCTTTTGGTCCATAAGCAGGCTCCATTTTCTGCCTAATCAACACTGCCTTATATATAATATCTCTCGCTACATGATTGATCGTATATATGTTCCAATTTCTTAAATATCACGTTTAAAGCGGGAGTATTTCGTTTAAAGCAGTATACTAATACCCCCCCCTATCTGAAACAAACTAACTGCATTCCAGTGATAAAGAACTTGACATTTAGTATTACGACTTTCCAGGCGAATGTTGGTCAGGAGAGAACGGTCATGAGAAGTATGCGGAAGAAGGGGTGGCTTCAACATGTGTGAACGGATG